TCATTGAAGTTCGTGAAAGAAATAATATTTAATTCAAACTTTACTGAAAATGAAATAATAGTAGCACGTAAAATTAGATTATTTTATGCTTCATCAAGTATTGACAAGGAATAATATTTAATTCATTTATTCTTGGGTAAGTTATGTCTTTTGGTTCCAAAAGTTACATCTACTCATTTTTTTTTCCTTTGTGCATGTTTAAGTATTTACAATCAAAGTGCAATTTTAGCATTTAAAGAAATGGAAATATTAATTCGCTAGACAACATGCAACTAAATTTTAACAAACATGTCCAATAATTAAATTAAACATAAGTGTCTATGGCAACTAAATTAAAGATAAAATAAAGCTACGTGCTAGATTTTAGATTTTCGTCTCGTGAAATAAGGCACAATCAAACCATCGAACCACCGCACTCCGACATGACCCGAATTAACCTGTAAGGTAGGGAAAAAGGGGTGAGTACGTGGGAATACTCAGTAGGATATCAGATTAATGGTGTGATCCCAAAAAATAATTTTAACACAATTGTCAGAATGTCATACCGTCGCATAACTTTAAATCCAGTAAGAGCTCACATCATATCATATCATTTCATTTCATTGTATCGGAATGGCCATATCATTCATATCATAACTTTCACTTTCATAAGTATGAAATTCGTCAACATGTAGCCAAAATAATTAAACGGGAAATAAAAAAAAATACTGCACCTCATATCCTACCTCGTAAAGTTGAATAAAGTTTTGAAAGATGAACTCCAAAATCACGTTCCTGATATTCTAATTTTTCTTGGCCGTGGTGAAAATTATGGGACCATTTTTGTATATTATTTACGATGAAAACAAATACCCAAATGAATCTGCTATGTACGTGTGTGTATATACTATATCGGAGTGTGTGGTTAAAGTGGAAACATGTGCCACAAGATGATAAAGTCATGGCCACCTCTTGGGTATCAGAATAATATAGTGTGAGCAGTTAATATTTTCTTTCTTTGTGCACGATAAACATCGCTATAGAGGTGGGGAGTTACAGTATCTGGATTAGTTTATATGTTGGAAATGGGGAGTTATATAATATATAAATTCGAATCAATTTTATTGTGAACACACGTGGCCGACTTAATGACACAAAAAAATTTAATGAAATATTATAAAGTATCAATTTGTTTAAACATCAATATCTTAGGCGTAGATTATCCGAATCAAATTTTTCTTGAGCCTATTATGCATGATTAATTACGATCTACCCAACGAGTCCGATATTCATATACTTATTATCACTCCGTCAATATCTACATTTTAACCCAAATTCAATTTAAATTTACTTTATATACACTTTAGTCCCTAAACTTTCAAAATATTAAATTATAACATATATAATTTAAATTCTATTCTACAAAATGTCGGAATATTACAATCGTGTACACTTTAGTTTACACATTGCCACGTGACATTACCTTGTTGGACAGTTTAGCTTTCAAACATTTTTCCCATCCAAATGACAATCGACAATAATGCAAGTGCCAAACTACGTGTCAAAAATCAATCTACAAGTAGCAAAGTTCAATCGGTATGGTCCTTACAACATGTACACTATGGTGTACACTTTAGTTGACAATTCGCCACGTGACGTTACCCTATTGGAAGGTTTAAATCTCAAACAATTTTCCCATCCAAATGACACTTGACAACAATGCAAGTATCAAACTACATGTCAAAAATCAGTGTACAAACAGCAAAGTTCAATCGGTAAGGAACTTGCTACATGTACACTATGGTGTACACTTTAGTTTACACTGTGCCACGTGAAATTACCCTGTTTGACAGTTTAAATTTCAAACGGTTTTCCCATCCAATTGACTCTTGACAACAATGCAAGTGTCAAACAACGTGTCAAAAATCAGTGTACAAATAGCAAAGTTCAATCGGTAAGAACCTTGCGACATGTACACTATGGTGTACACTTTAATTTACACTCTGCCACGTAACATTATCCTATCGGACAATTTAAATTTCAAATAGTTTTCCCATCTAAATGACACTTGACAACAATGCAAGTGTTAAACTACGTGTTAAAAATCAGTGTACAAGTAGCAAAGTTCAATCGATAAGGACCTTGCTACATGTACACTATGGTGTACACTTTAGTTAACAATTTGCCACGTGACATTACCTTGTTGGACGATTTAAATTTCAAACTGTTTTCCCATCCAAATAACACTTGACAATAATGGAAGTGTCAAACTGCGTGTCAAAAATCAGTGTACAAGTAGCAAAGTTCAATCGGCAAGGACCTTGTGATATGTGCACTATAGTGTACACTTTAGTTTACTCTTTGCCACATGACATTACCATGTTTGACAGTTTAAATTTCAAATAGTTTTTCCATCCAAATGACACTTGACAACAATTCAAGTGTCAAACTACATTTAAAAAATCAGTGTACAAACAGCAAATTTAATCGGTAAGGACCTGGTACATGTAAACTATGGTGTACACTATAGTTTACACTTTGCCACGTGATATTACCCTGTTTGACAGTTTAAATTACAAACAATTTTCCCATCTAATTGATTCTCGACAACAATGCAATTGTCAAACAACGTGTCAAAAATCAGTGTACAAATAGCAAAGTTCAATTGGTAAGAACCTGCGACATGTACACTATGGTGTACAGTTTAGTTTACACTCTGCCACGTGATATTATCCTGATGGATAGTTTAAATTTCAACAAGTTTTCCCATCCAAATGACACTTGACAACAATGCAAGTGTCAAACTACGTGTAAAAAATCAGTGTACAAATAGCAAAGTTTAATCGGTAAGGACCTTGCGACGTGTAAACTATGGTGTACACTATAGTTTACACTTTGCCATGTGATATCACCCTATTTGACAGTTTAAATTCCAAACAGTTTTCCCTTCCAATTGACTCTTGACAACAATGTAAGTGTCAAACGTGTCAAAAATCAATGTGTAAATAACAAAGTTCAATCTGTAAGGACCTTGTAATAGGTATACTATGGTGTACACTTCAGTTCACACTTTGTCACGTGACATTACCCTGCTTGACAGTTTAAATTTCAAACTTTTTTCCCATCCAATTGACTCTTGACAACAATGCAAGTGTTAAACAACGTGTCGAAAATCAGTGTACATATAACAAAGTTCAATCAGTAAGAACCTTGCGACAAGTCCACGATGGTGTACACTTTAGTTTACACTCGGACATGTGACATTACCCCATCGGACAGTTCAAATTTCAAAAAGTTATCCCATCCAATTGATACTTGACGACAATGCAAGTGTCAAAAAATGTGTCAAAAATCAGTGTACAAAATGATAAGTTCAATCGGTAAGGACCATGCTACATGTACAATATGGTGCACACTTTAGTTTACAATCTGCCTCGTGACATTACCCGATTTGATAGTTTAAATTTCAAACAATTTTTCGATCTGATTTACCCATGACAACAATGCAAGTGCCAAACAACGTGTCAAAAATCAATGTACAAATAGCAAAGTTCAATCGATAAGGACCTTGCTACATGTACACTATGGTGTATACTTTAGTTTAAACTTTGCCATGTGACATTACCCTATCTGGCAGTTTAAATTTCAAACAGTTTTTCCATCCAATTGACTCTTGACAACAACACAAGTGTCAAACGTGTCAAAAATCCGTGTATAAATACCAAAGTTCAGTTGGTAAGAACCTTGCGACATGTACACTATGGTGTACACTTTAGTTTACACTGACATGTGAAATTACCCTGTTGGTCAGCTTAAATTTCAAATAATTTCCCATCCAAATGACACTTGATAGCAATGCAAGTGTCAAACTACGTGTCAAAAATCAGTGTACAAGTAGCAAAGTTCAATCGTTAAGGACCTTGCGACAGTTACACTATGGTGTACACTTTAGTTTACAATTTTCCACGTGACATTACCCTGTTGGACGGTTTAAATTTCAAGCAGTTTTCCCATCCAAATAACACTTGACAACAATGCAAGTGTCGAACTGCGTGTTAATAATCAGTGTACAAGTAGCAAAGTTCAATCGATAAGGACCCTGTGACATGTACACTATAGTGTATACTCTAGTTTACTCTTTGCCATGTGACATTACCCTGTTTGACAGTTTAAATTTCAAATAGTTTTCCCATCCAAATGACACCTGACAACAATTCAAGTGTCAAACCACGTGTAAAAAATCACTGTATAAATAGCAAAGTTTAATCGGCAAGGACCTTGCGACATGTAAACTATGGTGTACACTATAGTTTACACTTTGCCACGTGATATCACCATGTTTGACAGTTTAAAATTCAAATAGTTTTCCCTTCCAATTGTCTCTTGACAACAATGCAAGTGTCAAACGTGTTGAAAATCAATGTGCAAATAACAAAGTTCAATCGGTAAGGACCTTGTAACATGTACACTATGGTGTACACTTCAGTTCACACTTTGCCACGTGACATTACCCTGTTTAACATTATTGTAACATTCCGAAATTTTTTTTAAGAAAATAAATAAATTATTATATTATTTTGAAAGTGAGGGATTAAGGTGAAATAAATATTAACATATTATATATTTGGGGTCAAATAATTGGATTTTGATAAAGTAATGATATGTATATCAATATTAGACTCATTTCAAAGGTCGTAATTAATTAGAAGTCTATGACTCGAGAAAAGTTATTTTGGATAAGAACGTATTAAGTTATACCCAATTGAAAGAAAACAAGATAAATATAATTTTATATAGTTTTAACCCATTTTGAATTTGATTGATTGGCTACCACATTTTTATTGGATAGGAATGGTAGTTCTTTTAGATGAAATAAAATAATGATAAAGTACAATTTTTTTATGATACGTGCCACATTGGATTTGACTTTATCAAATCAAAGTTTTGGTTTATCTACTACTCTAGCCTACACCTATAAATACTAGGCAAGGATTTCATATTTTACCACACCAAAAAAATATTCACACTTGAAAGAGAGAGAAGAAAGAAAGAGAGAGACAGAGAGAGACAGAGAGAGAGAAAGAGGAAAGAGTGTGTGAAAACAGAAATTTGTCATACATCAACTATCACTGTCGATCAATAAATCATTCACAGAGTAGAGGAAGGAATTTTGGAACGTGCATTCAAATATTTTTCGTGTACATTTCGATAACAAGGTAAGATACATTTATGTGCAAAGTGTTTACGTTTCCTTATGCTCTCCATAAGAGAAGAGCGGTATGAAGTGTATTATTTATTTGTTATATACCTGTGTATGGAAATTTGCACGTATCTTACTGGGTATTTTTAATACTCACTCTTACATTAATTTTTCAGATTTGTTCGGGTCGATTGGAACAGTGGAGAATTGGTGATGCGGACTGCCAAGTGGATAAAGAATAGAGATAGTGCACGAAAATACCCACTTGGCAGTCCGCATCACCAATTCTCCACTGTTCCAATCGGCCCGAACTAATCTGAAAAATTAATGTAAGAGTGAGTATTAAAAATACCCAGTAAGATACGTGCAAATTTCCATACACAGGTATATAACAAATAAATAATACACTTCATGCCGCTCTTCTCTTATGGAGTATATCGGTGATCAAGCGACACACCCATCTTAGGTCCTCTTAATTTTCATGTAGAAATTTCATATCTCTTTCTCTAGAACCCGAAGGTCCACTAGCATTCCATGCATATTTAATCGCATATAAGAGCATAAGGAAACGTAAACACTTTGCACATAAATGTATCTTACCTTGTTATCGAAATGTACACGAAAAATATTTGAATGCACGTTCCAAAATTCCTTCCTCTACTCTATGAATGATTTATTGATCGACAGTGATAGTTGATGTATGACAAATTTCTGTTTTCACACACTCTTTCCTCTTACTCTCTCTCTTTCTTTCTTCTCTCTCTTTCACGTGTGAATATTTTTTTGGTGTGGTAAAATATGAAATCCTTGCCTAGTATTTATAGGTGTAGGCTAGAGTAGTAGATAAACCAAAACTTTGATTTGATAAAGTCAAATCCAATGTGGCACGTATCATAAAAAAATTGTACTTTATCATTATTTTATTTCATCTAAAAGAACTACCATTCCTATCCAATAAAAATGTGGTAGCCAATCAATCAAATTCAAAATGGGTTAAAACTATATAAAATTATATTTATCTTGTTTTCTTTCAATTGGGTATAACTTAATACGTTCTTATCCAAAATAACTTTTCTCGAGTCATAGACTTCTAATTAATTACGACCTTCGAAATGAGTCTAATATTGATATACATGTCATTACTTTATCAAAATCTAATTATTTGACCCTAAATATATAATATATTAATATTTATTTCACCTTAATCCCTCACTTTCAAAATAATATAATAATTTATTTATTTTCTTAAAAAAATTTCGGAATGTTACAGTTTAAATTTCAAACAGTTTTCCCATCCAATTGACTCTTGACAACAATGCAAGTGTTAAACAATGTGTCAAGAATTAGTGTACATATAGCAAAGTTCAGTCGGTAAGAACCTTGCGACAAGTCCACGATGGTGTACACTTTAGTTTACAATCTGATATGTGACTTTACCTTGTTGGACAGTTCAAATTTCAAAAAGTTATTCCATCTAATTGACCCTTGACGACAATGCAAGTGTCAAAAAATGTGTCAAAAATTAGTGTACAAAAGGATAAGTTCAATCAGAAAGGACCATGCTACATGTACAACATGGTGCACACTTTAGTTTACACTCTGCCTCGTGACATTACCTGATTTGACAGTTTAAATTTCAAATAATTTTTCGGTCCGATTGACCCATGACAACAATGCAAGTGTCAAAGAACGTGTCAAAAATCAATATACAAATAGCAAAGTTCAATCGATAAGGACCTTGCTACATGTACACTATAGTGTACACTTTAGTTTACACTTTGTCACGTGACATTACCCTATTTGGCAGTTTAAATTTCAAATAGTTTTTCCATCCAATTGACTCTTGACAACAACGCAAGTGTCAAACGTGTCAAAAATCAGTGTTTAAATACCAAAGTTCAATCGGTAAGAACCTTGCGACATGTACACTATGACGTATACTTTAGTTTACACTCTGACACGTGAAATTACCCTGTTGGTCAGCTTAAATTTCAAATAGTTTCCCATCCAAATGACACTTGATAGCAATGCAAGTGTCAAACTACGTGTCAAAAATCAGTGTACAAGTAGCAAAGTTCAATCGGTAAGGACTTTGCTACATGTACACTATGGTGTACACTTTAGTTTACAGTTTGCCACGTAACATTACTTTGTTGGACGGTTTAAATTTCAAATAGTTTTCCCATCCAAATAACACTTGACAACAATGCAAGTGTCGAACTGTATGTTAATAATTAGTGTACAAGTAGCAAAGTTCAATCGGTAAGGACCTTGCGACATGTACACTATAGTGTATACTCTAGTTTACTATTTGCCACATGACATTACCCTATTTGACAGTTTAAATTTCAAATAGTTTTCCCATCCAAATGACACCTGACAACAATTCAAGTGTCAAACTACGTGTAAAAAATCAGTGTACAAATAGCAAAATTTAATCGGTAAGGACCTTGCGACATGTAAACTATGGTGTACACTATAGTTTACACTTTGCCACGTGATATCACCCTGTTTGACAGTTTAAATTTCAAACAATTTTCCCTTCCAATTGACTCTTGACAACAATGCAAGTGTCAAACGTGTCGAAAATCAATGTACAAATAGTAAATTTCAATCGGTAAGGACCTTGTAACATGTACACTATGGTGTACACTTCAGTTTACACTTTGCAATGTGACATTACCTTATTTGACTGTTTAAATTTCAAATAATTTTCCCATCCAATTCACTCTTGACAACAATGTAAGTGTTAAACGACGTGTCAAAAATCAATGTACAAATAGCAAAGTTCAATCAGTAAGAACCTTACGACAAGTACATTATGGTGTACACTTTAGCTTACACTCTGACATGTGACATTACCCTATTAGACAGTTCAAATTTCAAAAAGTTATCCCATCCAATTGACACTTGATGACAATGCAAGTGTCAAAAAATTTGTCAAAAATCAGTGTACAAATGAATAAGTTCAATCGGTAAGGACCATGCTACATGTACAATATGGTGTACACTTTAGTTTACACTCTGCCTTGTGACATTACCCAATTTGACAGTTTAAATTTCAAACAGTTTTCCGGTCCGATTGACCATTGACAACAAGCGTCAAACAACCTGCCAAAAATCAATGTACAAATAGCAAAGTTCAATCGATAAGGACCTTGCAACATGTACACTTTAGTTTACAATTTACCACATGATATTACCTTATTGGACGGTTCAAATTTCAAACAGTTTTCCCATCGAAATAACGCTTGACAACAATGCAAGTGTCAAACTACGTGTCAAAAATTAGTGTACAAGTAGCAAAGTTCACTCGGTAAGGACCTTGCGATATGTACACTATAGTGTACACTATAGTTTACACTTTGCCACGTGATATCACCCTATTTGACAGTTTAAATGTCAAGCAGTTTTCCCTTTCAATTGACTCTTGACAATAATGCAAGTGTCAAACGTATCGAAAATCAATGTACAAATAGCAAATTTAATCGGTAAGGACGCTGCTACATGTAAACTATGGTGTACACTATAGTTTACACATTGCCATGTGATATTACCCTGTTTGACAGTTCAAATTTCAAACAGTTTTTTCATCAAATTGACTCTTGACAACAATGTAATTGTCAAACAACGTGTCAAAAATCAGCGTAAAAATAGCAAAGTTCAATCGGCAAGAACCTCGCGACATGTACACTATTGTGTACAGTTTATGTACACTCTGCCACGTGATATTATCCTGTTGGATAGTTTAAATTTCAAAAAGTTTTCCCATCCAAATGACACTTGACAACAATGAAACTGTCAAACTACGTGTAAAAACTTAGTGTACAAATAGCAAAGTTTAATCAGCAAGGACCATGAGACATGTAAACTATGGTGTACACTATAGTTTGCACTTTTCCACGTGATATCACCCTATTTGACAGTTTAAATTTCAAATAGTTTTCCCATCCAATTGACACTTGATGACAATGCAAGTGTCAAACTACGTCTCAAAAATCAGTGTACAAGTCGCAAAGTTCAATCGATTAAGACCTTGCTACATGTACACTATAGTGTACACTTTAGTTTACACTTTGCCACGTGACATTACCCTATTTGATAGTTTAAATTTCAAATAGTTTTCCCATCGAATTGACTATTGACAACAATGCAGGTGTCAAACAACGTGTCAAAAATCAGGGTTTAAAAAGCAAAGTTCAATCGGTTAGAACCTTGTGACATGCACACTATGGTGTACATTTTAGTTAACACTCTATCACGTGACGTTACCCTATTTGACAGTTTAAATTTCAGCCAGTTTTCCCATCCAATTGACTCTTGAAAACAACGCAAGTGTCAAACAACGTGTCAAAAATCAATGTACAAATGCAAAGTTCAATCGGTAAGAACCTTACGACATGTACACTATGGTGTACACTTTAGTTTACACCCTGACACGTGATATTACCCTATTGGACAGTTTAAATTTCAAGTAGTTTTCCATCCAAATGACACTTAATAGCAATGCAAGTGTCAAACTACGTGTAAAAAGTTAGTGTACAAGTAGAAAAGTTCAATCGGTAAGGACCTTGCTACATGTACACTATGGTGTACACTTTAGATTACAATTTGCCAAGTGACATTACCTTGTTGGACGGTTTACATTTCAAACAGTTTTCCCATCCAAATAACACTTGACAACAATGCAAGTGTAAAACTACATGTAAAAAATCAGTGTACAAATAGCAAATTTAATCGGTAAGGGCCTTGCGACATGTACACTATAGTGTACACTTCAGTTTTCTCTTTGTTACATGACATTACCCTGTTTGACAGTTTAAATTTCAAATATTTTTCCCATCCAAATGACACTTGACAATAATGCAAGTGTTAAACTACGTGTAAAAAATCAGTGTACAAATAGCAAATTTAATCGGTAAGGACCTTGCTACATGTAAACTATGGTGTACACTATAGTTTACACTTTGCCACGTGATATTACCCTGTTTATCAGTTTAAATTTCAAACATTTTTCCCATCCAATTGACTCTTGATAACAATGCGGTTGTCAAACAACGTGTCAAAAATCAGAGTACAAATAGCAATGCTCAATCGGTAAGAACCTTGCGATATGTACACTATGGTATACGCTTTAGATTACACTCTGCCATGTGACATTATCCTGTTGGATAGTTTAAATTTCCAAAAGTTTTCTCATCCAAATTACATCGGAAAACAATGCAAGTGTTAAACTACGTGTAAA